TGGCATTTTCCTTCTCCAAACATTTACAGTATCATTACTATTAGACAGCAGGTAATTGCAATGCTCGCACTTGTGCGTGTCTTTATAAATACCATCGCAAATACACGTGTAAATGTGTAAAGGCGCACGTGCAATTGTAAAGGCGCACGTGCAATCGTAATGTGTAAAGGCGCACGTGCAATTGTAATGAGCCATTTGAAAGATTTCAATTAAAACCGTCAATGCACGTGTTATGCGAGGGTTGGAAAATGTGGATTGTGTAACTGTTCTACTGTTCGGTTAATTTGGGATACTTCGTCACAACTATGATTACCACGCCATGACCGCTGTAAACTTCTAGTTCCATTTTCAAGGTATGTTGATATAAATTATATGCTTCAATATTATTAGTGTGGTGTGTGGTTTTTTTTAAACTTTGATCTTACTAATATAGCTACTGTTTAAAATATTTCATATCCCCAGTCAATCGTTTAATGTTTTTTTTGGGTCTGAAGAGAATAAAATCCGAATTTTTCTAAAGGAATCTTAAATTCAAAAACATGGTTATATATAATTAAACTACAGTGGAATTTTAATTAATGCTATCATCAAGCAAATTACAAATTTGTGATTCTAATGAGACTATATAATAACCCTTGTAGTACTTGCTTTTCTTTTAAAAACCATAATCTCTCTTAATAAGAACCGTATTATTAGCGATTAAGTGACAGTTGATAAATTCTTATAAATAGGCTGATGAAATCTTAAACTTTAAATTCAAACAAACCTTCATCTTATGATCACAATATATTTTCCTGTCCAAAGTCAAAACTTGCACACTATTTTTAGCGTTTCTTCGATCAATTAAATAATTTGGAGTAGTCCAGTGTTTCAAAGTGACCAATTAAAGTAATTGGCACCCTGCCAGGCTCTACTTGTCACATTCTCCATTCTTAAGAAAGGACAGTTAAATTTTAACTCTTTATAATTTCTAATAAATTTCTTTGCTAGTAGACTCTTAGAATATAGTATAAGGATAGCTTTCATAACCTTGTAAAATGTACAAACACTTAATAAAGTATTATTATTAAAGCAAAAGAATATGATATAAACATTGAGTAACACGTTAAAGGTGTGTGTGAAGCGAACCTCGCTTTCAAACAAAAGATTTTGGCAGATCACTGTAGATATTATAAATTAGCCTCTCAAAAAGATATGGTCCACCGTTAAACATTGTTACCAAGGTAACCGCACAAATTCAATAGTCCACACTTACAAACACATCATGCAAAAGATCTAACAAAAATTTCAAAACTTACTAAGCTACTGTTTTTCATAGACGTCTCAGTTATATTAATAATGCATTCAAAGCAACTAAGCTACACCGAAAACTCTATTATATATTTAAATTTAATACTGTATGTTATATATCACCAATAGACCTCGAAATTCAACATTATAATATTAAATAAATCATTATATTATACCGCGATTTACTCTTGGCTTGCCAATTTCGCTTTTGTCTAACAAATTGATAAACTATGAATGGCTATTTTGAGCGGAAATCATTACTAGGCTAATGTTCGTGGCTGTTGCACCGTTTTACCGGTTTAGAGAGACATTGGGTTTGTTATTGACCCCTGGCCAAAATGGTTCCCAACATATCATTTTTAACTGAAGGTTTAAATAGCAGCATATATTTGAAAATTGAAGTTCATATTATGATATTTTGTAGAATTACAATTTGCACATTTCAGAAAAGTCCTTTATAATCTGCAGAATCTAAGAAGGTCCACCATAAAACCGAGAATCCAGATACAACCAGATATATATAATGATATCTTATACTCGCCCAGTTATCTGTACATACCAGAATAAAGTTAAGAACTGTAAACAAATCACATTTCGTGGCACAAAATACTGTATAAATGTGATGTTATCCATAAATATGCCGACAACAATAAGCTTGTGGGTAAAAGTACCATTGCTTCGACAAGATCTCCAAAAAATGATGAAATTGCTTAATAAATGATGATATCAAATTTTACAAACAATTTTGTAGTTGAGGTATCAAATAAAGTAAAATTTGTAAAAATTCTAATATTCATTGTGATGAGCTAGATCTACTAAGTCTCCCGGACTACCGTGCGTAGGTTCCCGGACGCGGTTCACATTTAGTTTCAGTTCAAAGTAAAGCACATTTCCCTTTGTCTTTCTTTCTTGGCTGTCTTGGGATGAGAACTGCTCTTATAGCTTCGTCAAACACGCTCTTCAGTCCTGTAAATGATAGTGTCAATAAAATATCAGTTTTAGGGTTAATGTTTCATTACAATTTCTGATGTAGTCAATAAAGGTCGAGTACACATTGTTTCAAAGTTCAATAATAAGAAAAAAGATGTGTTTATTCAGAAGATCACATGATGAGGCAACAGTAAGTTAGTTACAAAGTATAACATAGTGCACTATGTAGTTACCTTTCTGGGTGAGGGCTGAGCATTCCAAATATCTTACAGCACGGATATCTTTAGCCATATTTAACCCCTGAAATATTAACTATTAAACTCGTTGGTTTTAGGACGTTGACATAGAAACAACAATGAATAAATATTATGTATCGTAAATGATAACACTTTGCATTGTAGATAATTCTAAAAAACATTCTTAACACATCATTATACAATGTACTTGATGAGAGTGACATTACAATAATACCTGGGTGTAAGTAATAGGACTTAATCTTTTCTGTTTTAATCCCTCGATGGTGTCCCTGTCGTCACGGAGATCCAGTTTAGTTCCAACCAGAATAATGGGAGCATTTGGGCAGTGGTGTGTAACCTGAACACATTGCATTTTCAGTGACTTTAGAAACCAGATTGAAGGCAGCCAGAAATTTAAAGAATTAACAATTAAAGTATAAAAATATCCTCAACTTTAAGCATCAGAATTGCTTTTAAAGTTTTAAATGATTCAGGACACTGCAATTCAAAACAAATTCTAACCTCAGGGTACCACTTTGCCTTGACGTTCTCATAAGAAGCCGGAGAGATGACTGAGAAACAGATCAAGAAAACGTCAGTTTGTGGATAAGACAAAGGTCTCAACCTGTCATAGTCCTCCTGGCCCGCTGTATCCCACAGACCTAGGTTGATAGGGCGCCCATCCACCATGACATTGGCACTGTAGTTGTCGAACACAGTGGGGATGTACTCTCCAGGAAAAGCATTGGTTGTGTAAGAGATCAGGAGGCAAGTTTTACCGACAGCGCCATCACCCACCACTACACACTTGATTGCTTGCATTGCTAAGGTTGAGTTGATGTTAAGACAACATTCCATATAAAGGTGAAGTTCTATTTAAATTGATAACAATCACGTTGTTGCCAAATGAGAGTACACTGAAATCCTGCAATTGCACACTGCAATGTACATTTAAACCTAATGATACTGTAGTACACTGTGAGCTGTTCATTCAAGTAAAGATAAAAGCCTTAACACCAATTTTCTGTACAAGAATAGGGTGAAAAAAGTCATCAATCATATCCAATCACAATCCAGGAATGCCATTATTCCTTTACTTGGCAATCCAGTTTTTTCACTCATCGCATTATGCACCAGATGGATTCTGCACCTGCTCAGACGATAGGATATGTACCATGCAGTCTCTGCTGAATTCGGCAGAAGATTGGCAATGTCAATATGCAGGAATGTGAGAAGACACAATTCTGCTGTATGGCTCCGACAATTGCAGTGCCCCCAAGTCGAGTTGCCAATCAAACAGCCAGCTGAAAGTATACAAATACACCATCCTTTTGTATAGTTCAAACGAATCTCTCTTTTTTTTATGAAAAAGTATTCAAATAATATACACATATATAATGATATACACATAATATACACAATGACCATGACCATAGATAAAATCAAATTTTTAAAAAGTCATTATCAATTATATAAAATAAAGATCATTCAAACAATATTATACATACAATTAAATCAAGTGATGCAATCGGCAGAGCACAATGCATAGGTAACGGAAATGGTACATTGCTATCAATAAAACTTTAAACAATCAAATATATACAAATCAAGAAAACAACAATTTTATTTAGTATCAATTAAAGCACACAAAAATATATTTCATATATATATAACTAGCACGAACTTTAGATCAGATATCTTAGGGGACTTGGAGTAGCAAGAGATTGACTAGAAGGTATATAACTTTTACAAAGATACGTCGAGAAGAATCCAGGGTGATACAGGATCGGAGAGTGCAGACCAAAAGTTTACGCACCCACCTTTGCCTCCTGAGTTCTTGGTTGGATAGAAATTTATGCAAACTTGGTCGTTTATACTCCAAGTCCCTTTCTTAAAAGAAGTAGTATTAACTATGTCTAGAGTTAGCTTCGTTCAATAATAACAATATCAATATAATCAATATCAATATAATCAATATCAATATCAGATAAACCTACCGAATAAATTATTAAATATCAATTAATTCATTCCGATAAAAATTTTTATAAATTTAGATGTTTAACTTATCTAAAAACATTACAACAAATGGTTAAAAAGCGCCCAAAATCGATTTGAAAGATTTTCTGTCTATAGTACAATCATGATAGTAATAGTAAGTGTGTGCCGCTGGCTGCAATTAGATTTGATTACTGCAATTTGAAATTGTTTGGAGTCCAAGTATCTTTTAAGTCAGCTGCCTGTGCTTGTATTAATAGAGCTTTGGTTCTCAGTTTTATCAAGCTAATGGACGTTTCTAAGCAATTGCTTGAAGTTAAAATTTTTCTATGAACAGCGTTCCAAAGCTTGGCTGCATTAAACAAAAAGGTGTTTGATTTATTTAGGAGAATAACCATTAGACTCGTTGCACGGTTTGAAATGTTGATAGCCTCATAAAGGGAGTATGGGCAGTGGTACTTGATAATCTTAGAGAATTCTAAAATACAGTGATATTTGTACAAGTTTTGAGCCGTAAGAATTTTTAATCTATTAAAAATGGGTTTTGTATGCTCCTTTTCAAAGTGTTTATGGTCTAGTTTTTGCATACCGTATGGTCTAGTACGTGCACATGTTGATTGTTTATCTAAATATGAGTCAAGGTCGCCAAAAAGGATCCTTATACAGTGCTTCTGTGTGATGAAAAGACTATCATTGGACCGTTCTTTGAGGACAACACCCCAAACACTTATACCATAACTGAGATGTGATTCAAAAAGAGCATTATATATTTTCAAATATAGTTCAGAAGGTATCGAGTGCCGAATTCTGCAGATTGCACCAGTCATAGATCTCAGTTTTTTACGGATGTAGTGCATGTGGGCAATCCAGTTTAGCTTACTATCTATAACAACACCTAAGAATTTGGTATCCTTGACTTTAGTAATAACCTTACCATTGATGAATATTGATCTAGATTCATCTAGCAGGATAGCAAATGGTCTGGTCCGTGCACAGGTGTCATCATATTCAGAGGCAGGTTTAAAATGTATGTAGCAGCATTTGGACATGTTGATATGAAGTAGATTACATTTCATGTAAATCGAGACATGTTTAAGTACTAAGTTGGCTTTTTTGTATGTTGCTTCTCTAGATGGTCCTGATATGAAGATATTAGTGTCATCAGCATAAAGTACAAATTTCACCTCACTGTCTGAAAAGCAGTTTACTATATCGTTCATATACAATAGGAAGAGTAACGGCCCTAGAATTGACCCTTGCGGTACTCCAAATTTCACGTCCATTGTTTCTGATGGTACATCGTTATACATAACATACTGCTTTCTGTTAGTCAAATAGCTTTTTAGTAAGGTAAGTGCTGTGCCCCTAATACCGTAGGAATTTAATTTGCATAAAAGAATATCGTGATCAAGGGTGTCGAAGGCTTTGCTCAAGTCAATGAATATCCCTAGGACATGTTTATTGCTTGCCAGAGACTTAGTAACGGAGTCTATAGATTTGTGTAGAGCATGGGTGGTAGAATGGCCTTTTCTAAATCCAAACTGTGAGTCTGTTAGTACACCTTTAGATGTGAAGAAATTATAGAGGCGTTTATAAATGACCTTCTCGAAGATCTTTCCAAATAAAGGTAATATTGATACAGGCCGATAATTTTCAATGCATTCTTTATTGTCTTTCTTGTAAATAGGAATAACTTTACCAGTTTTAAAAATACTTGGGAATGTACCACTTTGTATACATGTGTTGTAAAGCCTAGCCAAGGTACCAGCAATGAGCTTGGCCGGTTTTTTTACAACAACTATAGGTATGTCACTCGCCTTACCATTTTGAAAGTCTCGGATCACCTCTATAATTTCTTCTTCATTAGTTTCTTCCAGGTATATGGAGTCAGATACCGAATTAGACATAAACTGAGCAAATGATTCTACTGGTTCCAGAGAAATACTATTGTTTGACAGTACATTTTTATTGAGATTACTTGCAAGAGATGTAAAATATTCACAGAATTTGTTAGCAATTATTCGTCTGCAAGTAACTCTCTGGCCATCTATGACAAAATCGTCCTTACATCTAGACAAATTTTTGCCACGGAGTTCATTTATAATTTCCCAAGTCTTTTTTGAGTTCATGCTGTACTTCTCGAATTTTTGAGTATAGCACATGGCCTTTGCCATCTTTATTGAGCTCTTGAGAAACTTGTCGAATTCCTTGTAGTAGATGTGCTTGTTTGGATCCCCATCAGGTAGTTTTAATGTACAAGTCTTCTTCCATTCGAAATACAACCTAGCTTTCTTGTCGATGGAGTTAATGAGGCCCTGGGTGATCCAAGGGTTGGTTATGCTGTTACGTTTAGTGGTTCTAGGAGTTAGAAGTTTGCAAGACAAATCTATCTTTTCTTGAAATAACTGCACGAAAGAGTCAAATGTGTTACAGCTGTGGTGGAACCTATCTATATCGTTTTCTATTTCAAGACAGAGCTTCTCTAAGTTAGCATTACTATAGTCGTAGTGTATAGTAATTTTGTCTGATGAATCAGGTGTTGGCACAGAGTCAGGGGAAAGTTCAATAAGAGTGAATATAGGGTGATGGTGGGAGATCTTGTCAGATATCACACCAGAAATAAGGGATTGATCTACGACATTGGTATGGATATTGTCAATACAGGTCCTGGAACAGCCAGGCATTTGGTGAGTTGGTACTGATATGGTTGGTATGAAGCCGTTGTTGAATATTATTTCTTGGAATTTGTCCTCTGATGGAGATGGGTCGTTCAAAATGTTAACATTGAAATCACCAAGAATATATACTTTTTTGCCATTCAGTTTTGAGAGAATACATTCATACGCTTTGTTGAACATCTCAAGTGATGCGTTTGGGGGACGGTATATAACCCCTACGACAGTTGGATCTTGCAAGCTAGTGATAGATACAAACAGTGATTCTATGTGTTCATTACAGAGAGATAAGTCAGTGATTTTGTTAAAGTTAAGGGAATCGTGTAGGTAAAGACACACTCCTGACCCTTTACCCTTGAACTGGTTTTTCTCTTGGCAAAAGTAGCGTGATTGGTAACAGGAGGAGTATCCGTTAAGCTGATACAGAGTTCCATTTTCGGGATTAGTGTTTGTTTCTGCAAGGCCGATAACAGAGAATTTGTGGTCGATACTAGACAATTCAACTGCAAAGTTGTCGAAGTTTGATGCATTTCCATCAATATTTAGAAATAATTTGGACAAATATTTAGCTGAATTTTTAGGTAGGATGGTGGCATTCAACTCTGTTATTGAGAATGTTTTGCAATTTTCAAGAATCTTTGAGCTATTGTAGATAGATTCAATATAATTAACTGGCTCATCATCAATGAGGCCATTGTTTGCAAAGTGGGGAGCTTGGTAGAAAGGGTTATACCGAACGATATCATTGGCATCAGTGCATATTTTGCAGTATGTTGCATCTCGAAATTTGACTATGTTATCATCAGTTTTGCATTTTTTGTGCATTATCTTGTCACACATCTGACAAGTTATGAATGGATGTCCAGCACGCACAGGTCTATTGCAGCAGCAGCAAATTTCGCATATTAGTTTGGCTATCATGACATAACTACGGATCTACGAGAACGTGGGGAAAATCTTTTTTGGGCCTTGGTAACATCACTGAACAACCTCCCATCAACGGGGCTACCTAGGATCTTATGTGCAATTGCCCGGGAGAGTTTAAAGATACCGCTTGACCCCAGGTGGATTGGGTCATCCGGCTTCTTGTATCTACAAAACTGCTTGTCCAGTAGACCCTCCTCATCAACAAAATTATCAAAATCTAAAGTGCCTATTCTAGTATTAGTATTACAGTACCCAAATAATAAACTATTAAACTCCATGGCTCTGTCATTCAGCCAGGAGGACCTAGTTGGAAGGATGGGTGAGACAATAACTTTAGAATATGGACACATATCACAAATATTCTTGAGCTTCTTCGTCAGCTCATTAGCCCAATGTTTAACATCACCCCCTCCCCTCTTGATATTATTTATACCACAGTGTACTACAACGTTCTTGTATCCAACACAAAGAACAGGGTCTAACTGATCTATTGTGAAACATTCGATTCTTTTCCCAGGCAGCTTGTGTCCAAATGTTCCTTTTCCAGCCCCAAATTTGAGGAACCGGGTGTTTGAATCACCGACAATCAAGGTCGCATTGATGCTCCTGCTTACGTAGCGGAAGGTAATACTGTATCTTAAGTCCCTCTTTTCTGTGCTTTTATCAATTCGGTGGTCCCAAAGAAACTGGGACTGTTTGCTCATGACATAGAGACTACGTCCCTCTATTGTCTCTACAACCTCTCCTTCAAGCTGGTCCTTTTTTGTGAATTTTACAGAGCAATCACCACCTAAGGATACTGTAAATATGGAACTATCATGGACCAGTGATTGCTCGTTATCAGAGTGCTTAGGAAGAAAGCTGTTCCCATCAGTGTACCGATTTATCAAGCACTGATTGATTGTTGAACTAGGACATTCTTCCTTTATCTTGGAGACAAGCTTATTAAGAACCTCAGGAAATTCTGTTGATGTCGGTTTTTCAGCTTTAGCCCCCGGGTACTGATAAGGTTCGCCAAAGCTCACAACCCCATGTCCATTTTCGGAGTTACTATCAAAGGCTTCCTTCTGTTGGTCTAAGAAAACTGAAAGCTCAGAGTTCAATTTTTCATCTACAAATTCTGGGACATACGACAGAATGTGCTTGGACTTAGGGTCGTCTACACTTGCATGCTTCTGTGCATCTAGGAGAAGCTGTTCTTGGTCCATTTCACATGGTGCGGGTGACCCTATATTAAAAGGAGGCATGGGCAGATCAGGGGTGGAAACATTTGATGACCTACTGTTTTTAAAACAGTTTATGTCAAGTTTGAGCTCAGCAAGCTTGCTGTTGATGGAGTCGAGAGTTCTGAGATGGCTATCGTTGTCTTTAAGGTTCTTGATGGACTTCTGAATGGCTTCTAGAGAATCTTGTAGAGAGCTACCATCCGAGGTAGTGTGAACCATTGGCATGCTCAAGCTGCAGGGAGCTGACAAGTAGGAAGAGGACTTGACTTCGTTTTCACATCTCTGTCCACTTACTACAGCACAAACACTTTCAGCAAGACCTAGCAGGGATAGGAGACCTTCTGCTAAAGTTAGTTTGTTCAGGGATGAACAACTCTTGATCATGGCTGGTGTAATGATCGCAAACTTGTTTACTTCAAGTTTCAGGATACTGCAAATGTTAATCTTGATTAAGTCTACCTCTGAGCGTAGGTTCTGTGCGTGGGTTAACAGATAGGTGTCGAGGGGAGCAGATCTATTTGAGAAGAAACTAAGGAGACTGCTGACATTTTTGTCTTCTTCTGAGTCCTGATTTTCTGAATGAATTAGTTTATCGACATCTCTAAGCATTTCGTCAATATTTTCAATGACTGAAGCTGAGGAAGTGGTGGGTGTATCCTGATGGGGAACCGTAGTGGATGAAGTCTGGTCTGCAACAGGTTGAGGTTTCTCACACTTTTCTTGAGTGTCAGTGGGGGTTTCCATCATGGTGAAGAGGCAATGGGGGTACCAGGCAGACCAGGGGGCACCTTCACGTCCAACTAGCACACTCACTGAAAAGAAAGAAGAGCAGAAAGCAGTTTGAAATGTTCTGTTGTGGAAAACAATGAAAGTGTAAACTGGATTAGTCAAAATGATTCAAAAGATTGGAAAATTGAACAGACTGACGGACTACGACACATGGGACAAGAGAGTGAGTGAGTATGAAAAATATGAGGTGGTTGGACTGGCAAGCCCTATCATTTAATCAGAATACATTACATATAATCCATAAGCCATATATATGTCAGCCTGTTCTTGGAGCGCAGCCCCAAAAGTTATCAGAAGTGAAGTTCAAGTTTTAAGTTTAAAATTCTTTCAACACTATCTACACATTAATCAGGGTTGTCCAATTGTCCAATTGTGGATTGTGGTGTGAATGGAGTT